TGTCACAGATTTAACTGTCCCCAAAAGAGTCCCCACTCGCCTTTTTCTTCCCAGAACTTCCCCCCCTCTCACCTGGGTTCTCCACGGTGTGTAGGGAGACCCCACGGTCCGGACGCTCTAAGTAGAAGACCTGTCGCTCTAGCCCGCAGCGCCTCCCTGTCCGCCCGCAGCCGACCCGGGCGCAGCCTCCGGGTTTGCAGTGGGATTTACCATCCTCTCCGCAGCGTCACCACCTTGGCTATTCAGAGGAATTCCTGGGACTTTCCTTGGCTGAGAAATAAACACCGGGAAGGGAGAGAAGAGGAAGCAGCCTTTGCTCTGAGTGGTTCTGAGAACATCTTTGTATGTTAAATTCCCCGACAATCTTTAGGATGAAGGGGAGCGCGCAGTCGTGTAAAATGTCACTCACTCTGTGCCGGGCACACGCGTCTAGTGGCCTAGCCCTTTGCACACTCACAGGATGCTTGCAGCAGCCCCAGCATGCAGGGGCTGTCACTGTCCCCATTTGCAGTTAAGGAGACTGAGCTGGAGGGGGGAGGTTGAGTCTCCTCGGGAGGGCCAGCCTGCTGGAGGGACATGCAGACAACTGTCCCTGTTTGTATTTGGCCCAAACCTACTCCCAGCGCTCTGGGGTTTTAAACCCAGGCAGCTGGGAGCCATTTAAAAACGAAAGGCATGGCCGGGCGCGGTGGCTCATGCCTGTAATCCTAGCACTCTGGGAGGCCGAGGTGGGCTGATTGCTCGAGGTCAGGAGTTCGAAACCAGCCTGAGCAAGAGCGAGACCCCGTCTCTACTATAAATAGAAACAAATTAATTGGCCAACTAATATATATAGAAAAAAATTAGTTGTGGTGGTGCAGGCTGTAGTCCCAGCTACTCGGGAGGCTGAGGCAGAGGATCGCTTGAGCCCAGGAGTCTGAGGTTGCTGTGAGCTAGGCTGACGCCACGGCACTCACTCTAGCCTGGGCAACAGAGTGAGACTCTGTCTCAAAATAAATAAATAAATAAAAACGAAAGGCATGATTTAAAGCCAAGGGTGGGAACTCTGTGTGCACTTCTTAAGCCAGCCTTGCAGACAGATGCTCGGCTCTGCACGGGGCCGCGGCTGGTTCCCGGCCCTCATCCTTCGCCAGAGCGCCTCCCGCGGGAAAGGGGCTGCCACCTGCCCCGCGTCTTCCTGGCACGCACGTAGGTGCACTTGGGAAAGGTCACAGGGGCAAAACTGGTCTTCGATTGGCGGTTGACATTTGCGACCATTTTGATGGCGCTGAGCTGGATGGAGCCTCTTCCTTTGACAAGTCCGCTGTGGCAAAAAAGGAAAATCCCTTGTCTGGAAGCTGCCAGAGAGGAGCACCAGGTTCCAGACAAAACACAGAAACCCTTCTGCAAGCACAGAAAGCGGACAGTGGCCCACCGTGGCACATTTTGCTCTGGCCTCTCTGACGGTCCTTCTGCGTCGGCAGCCTCAGGGGCCGGCGGTCTAGGGCCCAGCCGTGACACTGGCCGTGGCGTTGCCGTGCTGTAGGATGCATGGCCGACCCTCTCTGGGTCTCTCCCTGGGCCTCTATCAACGGAGGGGTGAGCGGCAGGTTTCAAGGGCCTGACGTGGCCATTAGAAGAGAAAAGAAAAAAATTCAGTAAAGAATGAGGAAGCACTCGATTGTGCACAGTCCTAACCTCCGGCGTCTCCCTGAGGATAAGTTGGGAATGAGATGTGAAGTAAGGTAGGGCTTTGAGCGTGAGCCGGTTGACTGTGTTAAGACACTTGATCTGCAACCTTCTCTTCTGGCATGATCGGATCACTGGATGACTGTCTTTTAAGGCTTGTAAGCAGTGACCATGACAACCTGCCTTCTGCGGACAAAATAATCTCCCATTCTGTGTCCACTGAGGCAGACGAGGAGAGGACATTAGGCTGATCCAGAAGGGTCATCCAGTTGCATGGTGGCCTGTTTGTCTTGATAGAGTCAGCTTGGTTTAAAGATTTCAGAGATCATATGGTTACTTTTCTTTCCTTTTCTGAGACAGAGTCTTGCTCTGGGCCCTGGTGAGGTGAGTGCAGTGGCGTCAGCCCAGCTCACAGCAACCTCCAACTCCTGGGTCAGGCGATCCTCCGCTCAGCTCCCGAGTAGCTGGACACAGGCATGCGCCACACGCCGGCTGTTTTCTGTTTTTAGTAGGAGATGGGTCTCATTCTTGCGTAGGTCGGTCTCCAACTCCTGAGGCTCAAGCAATCCTCCCGCTTGGCCTCCCAGAGTCGCTAAGATTATAGGGTGAGCCACCTCCCAGGCCTATGGTTCTTTCTACTATATATACTTTCATAACGTGGCATCATTTTTTGCTAATCTTTTGGTTTTAAGCATGTGTCTTGGTATGTGGCATAGGGTTTGGGGTTGCCTTTTTTTTTGTCATTTGAAACACAGATTTTTAAGGTAATTTTGTTCATTACATTTATTGTTATGTAATATTTTCTAGATTCTGCTCCCTGTTTTGCTGGTATTTTTGGTTATAATTTGATTTCCTGTGCACCTGTGGTTTTTAGGTTGGACTGCAATTGCTCCATGAATACTCTTCACTGTAGATTTTAGACCTGTATCAAACTTGCCTTCTTAATCCACATCTTCTATAGCTAACGACGCACAGACATCAAGTGTTCTTACTTCTTTAGACAGCCAATATATGGCTATCACAAGAGCAGACCTTGGACTTCCTTTCTACGGCATTTAAGCTTTGGACTTCCTCTCCAGGGTGCTCTCCTCCCCCTCCTTCACCCTGCTGCATCTCTGGGGCTGAGGAACGCATGAAATTCTCAATTCTCTTCTGGCTCTTAGTTCGGCTGGGGTCTCTTCCTTGCACTGGTCACATGCACCCACACTTCGTACCGTGTGCTGCGGAAGGGCAGGGTGCTTTGCCATTCTTGAGCAAATCTCTCAAGCCAGGCCAGGGTCTTATTTAAAAATAAATAAAATAAAATAAGGCATAACTGAGGGGGATACAAGGGAGAACGTGGAGGTCTGTGCCTGGCACTTACCAGCTGCTTGTAAGTATCTAACCTCCCTCCCCGCGTCCCTGTTAGTTCTTTGGGTGGCTTTGCACGCCAGCGTTTGTTTATTACTATAAACTTGACCTTTGGGGGTTCCCCGGTGTAGTTCATTCTTCTTCGGCTAGACGGTGACTTTTTTTTTTTTTGGTTTGGTTTTTAAATGGAGGCGAAATTCTTAACATAAATGAACCACTTTAAAATGTAGCTTCAGTGGGCATTGGCACATCCCAATGTTGTGCAGCCACCACCTCTATCTTGGGTCCCAACATTCTCCTTACCCCAAAAGGAGAAGGGGACTCTTGTAAGATGCCAGCTTTGGATCCACTGGACCTTCCTAGCTGTGTCACTTTGGGGCAAGTATTGTAACCTCTGTCCTTCGTTTTCATCTTCAAATGGAAATAATATTGATTTCCTATAGGATTTCTTGTTTTAAAAAAAACAATTTTTATCGAGGCATATTTATATGCTGCAAAACTAACATCATCCTCAGTGTACGATTCAGTGATTTTTAGTAAATTTGAGGTGTGCACCCTTCACCACAATCCAATTTTAGAACATTTCTATCTTTTCTGTTCCCTTCTTCCAGCCTCTGGTCACCAACACTAATCCGTTTTCTGTCTCTGTAGAGTTCCCTTTTTTTAGACATTTCATGTAAAAGGAACCAGACAATGTGTGGCCTTTTGTGACTTGCTTCTTTCACTTAGCGGTTTTTGAGGGCTCATTCATGTTGTAACACGTAGCAGGATTTCATTCCTTTTGCCAGGCTGAGTAATATTCCAGCGTGTGGTAGACCAGGTTTCGTTTATCTGCTCATCTGTTGGTGGACTCTGGGTCGTTTCCCTGTTGGGCTGTCAGAATGCTTGCTTGCACCTGTGTTCGGGTGTGGGTGGTGGGTGGGGTGTACGCTTTCACCCTTTGGCAGATCTCCAGGAGTGGAGTTGCTGGGCCCTATCAAAGTTTTGAAAATGACATTTGCAATAATATGTGTCATTCTCAGTATCACAGCCAGTGCTGGTGCACGTTAAGTATTTAGTGACGGTCACCATTATTTACATTAGTTCCTTGTGGACTTTTTTTATGTGGATGATTTTTCTGACCTTTAGATTTTGTTATTTGTTATCTTTGGTAGCTTTTTTTATTCCTGTCTGTCACCATAGCTCAGGGTCATCTGATTAGCCAAATCACCCGCTTCACTCATTCACACCACGAACGTTCCCCAAGTGCCTCGCGTGGGTGCCAGGCCTGTGCGTTTTATGGGCGAAACCCGTGTGCCCGTTTTGCTCAGCCCTGTAGCGTCATGATGTGGAATGGGGTTTGCTGAATGAATACAAACAAAGCCCCTACCCGCAAGTAGCTGAGTGTGGCTGGACAGCCCCGTAGGTGCCCGGGCTGGTCACTCAGACCTGGGACGGGAAGCCCCGCACCATTGCGACCAGTGGTGGCCAGAGAGCCAATCCCGCCTCTCTCTCCCCAACTCCACCCATGGCGGCACAGCCACTCTGGGCTAGAATATTTACACCATGGCAATGGGCAAATGCTACAGGTCAGAGCTTCCCTCCTCCTTTTCTTTTTTTTTTGGAGAGTCAGGTGTTAAACGTTTACCTGCACATCCCCTGCCTTCCCAACCTCAAAACCTGTTATTCTCCCGACACAGAAGGGGAAGTTGAGGCACTGAGTGTTGAAGGGCCTTGCCCGGGGTCACGCAGGTGGAAGGTGGCAGAGCCGGAGCTCGAGCCGGCGCCCCCGGCCCGTCCCCTCCCCGTGGTCGTGGGACGACACGGCGTCTCGCCTTCGCCCTGGCCCCGACCTCTGGGCGGGTCTCCTCTGCCAGTCTGCTCTGCGGCCGGGTTCCCATGGCGATCACTCGCTCCTGTCCTAGGTGCCACCACTTCCCAGCGCGCTTCCGTCACGTCCTTTCCTTCTTCGTAGGGACACTTGTGTGTCTTTGTTCTTGCAGAATTTCGCTAAAGAGTTTGTGATCAGCGACCGCAAGGAGCTGGAGGAGGATTTCATCAAGAGCGAGCTGAAGAAGGCGGGCGGAGCCAACTACGACGCCCAGACGGAGTAGCCCCGCTCCTCGCCAGAGCCGCCCGCCTGCCCCCCGGGGAGAGGACCGCCGGCCTCAGCCACCAGCCCACCAGCCCACCCGGCAGAGGAGAAGCCAGGAGAGGCAGCGCCCGCCACCCTGTGCCCGCGCCCCAGACCCCTTCCCGCTTCCCCTCGAGCCCCGCTGCGTCCCACCTCATGAAGCTCATGGAATGTCTTTCTTTGCTCTTTTTCTTTCTTCCCCTCCCTCTTTTTTGTTCTAAAGAAAAATCATTTTGATGCCAAGGTCCTGCATGTCATCAGATCGGAGGTGCCTGCGGCGGTGACCCCCTTTTCCTGGCATTTCTCTTACACGCCACGAGGCCTGCCCCGTGGGCTTCACCGCGACCTCGTGTGGCTTCCGCAGCCGGGGCGCCACCTGGGGTTCCTGTGGCTCAGCCTCCCGGGCACCACTGGGGCGCTGCGCCTGCGACCCGCAGCCTTCATAAGCACACGCATCTATCCCACGGGGCCGCCGCAGACCTCCAGGGTCACCCGCCCCCACTCAGCGTGGCCTACGCTACCTGTTCCACAGCAGCGGCAGAATTGCTGGGTGGTGACAAGTGCAGGTCTGGCCCAGACCGAATAAAATAAAATTTGCCTTAAAACTTGCCTGGCAGGGGCTTTGCTGCATGGTCTGAAACCCTCCGCCCCCGGTCCCACCCTTGTGACTGAGATTTCCTTGTGGCTTGGAAAAGAGGCAAAGTCTGAGTCCAGAGTGGACAGGAGGAGTGTTTCAGGGATAACCTCAGGGGCTCCCAAAGTGACAAGATGCTAGGGAGAGAGGCCCAGGGTGGGAGCAGGGGTTTAGGTAGAACTGAGAACCCTTACCTTCAGCGAGGTCCCTGCGAGCAGCGGGGACGGGCGGCCCGAGGGCTGCCCCGGCCGCCCGGAGTCTGCGGTTTCCATCCTAGGCCTGCACCACACATGCAAAAGGATTTGTTCTGTCTCTAAAGAAAGATGAGGTTGGCTTGGTTCTTCATGAGCGCATTTTATATAGTTCTTTTTCTTTCTCTTTTTTTTTTTTTCCTTGCTCGTTTCATTTCGGGGAAGAAATCTGTACTGTATTGGGGTTGTGAGGAACATCTCTGCACTCAAAACAGTTTACAGAAATAAATGTGTTTTTTTTTGTTTTTCAAAAACCAGTTTGCTTTTCTGATTTTTCACGCAGTTTTCTTTAAGAACACAGGCGATTGATTGTCCTCACATTTGGAGGGAAGAGGCGTTTGTGGAGCCACGTGGGGCTCATTCACATTCAGTAGCTTGTCAATTCTTAACAGCCGTGAGAGATAGGTGCTGTTTTCGTCCCCGTTTTATGGAAACTGAGGCTCAGAGAGACGGATTCACTCCAGGTCACCCAGGCAGAAAGCGGCAGGGCTGGGACTTGAACCCAGGTCTCCCGCCGCCGATCCTGGAGCTCTGGCTTGGGAGGGGAGTGCGGAGACCCCGGATTTGGGACAGGGACGTGACCGCAGGCTGCGATCCTTCTTGACTGGCCGGAACACTCCTCTCTGCCTTTCCAGGAAAAGCCAAGAGAAAGCGTCTCCGTTGGCTCGGCCGTGACACCCTTTCTGAGGTTGTCCTAGAGCTGAAAACTGGACTTCCAGCACACGGGATCCCGAGGGAACTGAGAATCGGGCCAGAGGAGCTCCACACGCACAGGCGACCAGGGTTGCAGCAGCTGCGTGTGGGGCAGGGCTTGTGCAGGGAGAGGGCAGAAGCCAAAATCGGAGCAGGAAGGAATCCTACATGGTATGGGCAAGGCCAAGGCCAAGGCTGCACTGCCCAGGGCATGGGGGCTGAGGGTTGTTGCCATCCCACCCCCGGCCTGCCCCGGCCACATCTGGGTTCTAATACCTGCTCGTCTGTTCACAGCTGTGTGACTCCAGGCAAGTCAGTTAACCTCTCTGAGCCTCGGTTTCCTCATCTGCAAAACGGGCCACAATATTGCCTATTGCATGGGAAGGCTTAAGGAGCAGTGACAATAACGCTTGCAGAGGGTGTCTGTAAGGGCACCGTGTTATCACCTCACGCCTGCCACTAGTCCTCATCACCTCTGTGGGCTTGTGTTTTTTCCTATACTTAGAGGGAGCTAAACTAGGTCTCTTGCTTCCCAGCATATGAGCTTTAGCTGCAGCCACAGAACGTGGGCTCAGAAGGGGTACGTCTTCATGTCACCCTCATGCACTCCAGCCCCCCGGGCCTTTCAATCCTCTCCTGGAACCTCCTGGTCTGCTGGGCCCAACCTACTTCCTGTCCCAGATGGGAGGTGGCGTAGAAAGAGCAAGGCGCTCTCTCAAATCTGCCCCTAGGCCTATGGTCTCATCCCTGGCTGTGAACTAGGGCCCTTGGGAGCTTTGAAAATACAAATGAGGCCTTCATCCAGACCTCTGAAACCAGAGTGCCCAGACTTGAGCAAACACCACCTTCTCCTGCCCAGACGGCCGCAGAAGTGGCCTGACCTGGGGCAGGCAGGACGGGGAGGCCTGCATCTCCCTCCCATGGGTTCCTCTTGTGCGTGGAATCCTGAAGGGTGAGTGTGGACGGATGTATCTTGAGCACCTACTGTGAGCCAGACACTGGCCTCACTGTGGGATCCAGTGGTGAACAAACTCAGACACCACTCCTCACCCTCAAGGAGGCTCAGTTTTGCAGGGATGAGGGATAGTCATCAGCTTGTCCCACCAGTGGGCACACAGTTACAGCTGAGGATAAGCCCCCTCTTGAGAAAAAGGCCCAGGTTTTATGAGAGAAGATTGCAAAGGCCCTGGACCTGGTCGAGGTATCAAGGAGGGCTTCCCTGAGGAGGTGGCACCTGAGCTGAGAACTCGGAGAGCAGAGGAGTGAGGTGGGCAAAGGGGGTGAAAGGATGGGAGCCTGGACACAGGCTCCAGGAGGGGTGGCCAGGGGCCTGGAACAGCTCACCTGTGTGTCGGGGAGTTTGGCTTTAACTCGAGTAAGTACAGCTTGGGCCTCTGCTGGAGGGTCTGATGGGACTGTGAGATCTCCGAAGGCAGAGAGGCTTCACCTCCATCCTCCCATTATGCCCTGGGCCTTGCACCTGGCAGGTGGCTGGCAATGCGCCTGGAGCTGCCCCACTGGGGCCTGCCCCTGCCAAGGCCTGACTGCTCCCCGATCGGGCCTTACTTAGATACGCTCTGAATTTATTTACTCATTTGACAGCTGTTCCAGTTACTATTGCTGTGTAACAAATGACCCAATGAACCTAAATGGAATAAACCACAGCCGTTTCATCTTGCCCGAGATGTGTTGGGGCAGGCATCTAGGAAGGGCTCAGCTGGGCGGTTTTCACCGCAGGGCTCTCTCGTTTGGTTGTGGACAGATTGGCTGAGCTGGACGTCCACACCTACCCTCTTTTGGGGCTGGCAGCTGCTGCTGGCTGGCGTCCAGGAGCTCAGCTGGGCTGTGGATGGCGCCTTCACGTGTGGCCCCTCCTGCATGGCGGCCTCGGGGTTGTTGGACTTCTTACACGGTGGCTGGCTTTCCCAGAGCCAGTGTCCCAGTAGAGCCAGGAAGAAGCTGCCTGGCCTTTCCTGATGTTGCATGGCCTCAGAAGTTGCATGGCACCACTCCTGCTGTGTGCTATTGGGGGAAGTGGTCCTAAGTCCCCCAGAGTCAAGGGGAGGGGACAGGGACCCTACTTCTCAATGGGAGGCATGCCAAGAAAATTGTGGCCTTTTTTATTTTTTTAAGCACCACAGCTAACTATGACCAGCACTGTGCTTGGCCTGGGGTGCAAGCGGAGCAAACCATCCTGTTCTCATGCTCATGTAAAAGAACAGATAATCAGAGTGTCTACCTTGGTGCTCTTGGGGAGGCTGCTCCTGGCTGATTGACCCCTGGGGATGCTTCTGTGTCTCAACTTCCCTCCCTCGGGTGTTTATGCCCCAGGGGTTATCTGGGGCTGGAGGGAGGGGCGCCCAGCCCCAGGACACTGCCCTGCCTGGGGAGAGGTCTCCTGCAGCTCCCCGGCAGATGGCTGTCCTCTCGTGCAGGCTCCTGGTTTCCCATTTCTTAGTGAGCCATAGAACACACAGAAAAACAGGACCCTAGCTGAGAGGACACCAAAGTCCTGGAGGACCACGTGATGCCTCTGTCTGGGGGGTCTTTTGCACACGTGGGACTCCGACCCTCCAAGAAAGACCTGGAAGCAGTAGTTCAGTCCGGCCGTGGCTTCAGCATTGGAATGTGGAATGTGTCGAGTGGCGGCCTTGGAAGCCAGCATCTCAGAGACAGACAAGTCGGAGTCTGGCTGAGAGCCACGTGCAAATCTGGCCAAAGAACAGGTGCAACGTGACCCTTCGTAAGAACTTCAAAGTGGACTAAAGACGGAGCCCGCGGCCTGGGCGACCCGTGCGGTCATCAGACAGGACTGGCCGCGTCCGGAATCCGGGGCATCCGAGGGAGCTTCCGTTCCGTCGTAGGAGGAAGGGGCTGCGACTCCCCGGCACCTCGGGGCAGTTTTGTGTCCCCAGGGGCGGAGCAAGGGAGGAGGCTGAAGGTATTTGGGCTCCAGGGTGCCACAAAAATGAGTCACCCTGCCGGGCTCGGTGGCTCACGCCTGTAATCCTAGCACGCTGGGAGGCCGAGGCGGGCGGATTGCTCGAGGTCAGGAGTTCAAAACCAGCCTGAGCAAGAGGGAGACCCCGTCTCTACTATAAATAGAAAGAAATTAATTGGCCAACTAATATATATAGAAAAAATGAGCCGGGCAGAGTGGCTCATGCCTGTAGTCCCAGCTACTCGGGAGGCTGAGGCAGGAGGATCGCTTGAGCCCAGGAGTCTGAGGTTGCTGTGAGCTAGGCTGACGCCACGGCACTCACTCTAGCCCAGGCAACAGAGCGAGACTGTCTCAAAAAAAAAAAAAAAAAAAAAGGTTGGTCCAAGTGCAGTGGTGTTTACAACTAATTGATCACAACCAGTTACAGATTCCTTTGTTCCTTCTCCACTCCCACTGCTCCACTTGACCAGCCTTTAAAAAAAAAAAAAAAAAAAAAGAGTCACCCTAGAGGAGCCGCATCCCGCGGCCTTCTCCCACAGGTTGGAGAGAGAATCTCTACTGTGCGCATGCGCTTGACCTTCAACCCGGAAGGGCCTTTGGCTCTGAGGTTCCCGCCCATTCCCCGCTGCCTGGAGCAACCCTGGACCCCGACAGCCCAGGGGCCTGCAAGACTGGTTGTCGTTTGGACATAAATACGTGCTCAAGTCATGATACCTAGAGGAAAACATTTTTAGTGCTTTTTTTTCTTTCTTTCAGGATTATGCCTTATTTTCTGGCCTTTTCTTGCCCGTCAGAAAAGTTCATCCCGAGCTTAGCAGACAATTTCCCTCCCCAAACTGCAGCCGCCCGTCCGCCCTTCCCCACCAAGAGCACCTCACGGCCTGGGACCAAGGTCACGCCCCAAGCGGGGGCCTGTTTGTCTCTCTGGCCGGGACATTCGTCCACCTCCCGCCTCCCGTGCCCCAGGCCGGACCCAGCTGTCTTTCCTTCACTCGTTCCCTCTCGAGAGACTGGTCTCTACTGGCATGCCTCTTCTAGAAGGTTCTCCCAGCCTGAGAAGGGGGCGGAAAAGTGGCTCCCGGAAGATACATCCATGGCCCACAACCTGAGAACATCACCCTATTTGCGAACAGGGTCTTTACAGATGTAATTAAGTGAAAGACCAGCCTGGATTGAGGGTGGACCCAAATCCCGCGATAGGCATCAGAGGGAGATCTGAGCCGGAGAGCGGAGGGAAGGCCACGGGGAGACGCAGGTGGAGTGCGGTGAGGACACCTGGAGCTCCCAAGAGCTACAAGAGGCAGGAAGGACCCACCCTACCCCCGGAGCCTCCAGAGGGAGCATGGCCCTGCCCACACCTGGATGTTGGACTTCTGACCCCAGAACCGTGAGCCCCAGCTTGTGACCCTTGGCTAGGGCAGCCTCAGGGAACCAACCTGCACTCTTCCCTGGAGCATTCGCTTCCCCCCACCCCAGGTGCCCTGTCCCCAGTGCCTGGCGGGAGGCCCTACACACAGTAGGTGCCCACTAAGTGATTGGCGAGTCGGGCTTCACTGGCGCGGGGAGGAGGTGGGGCCCGGCCCAGGTCTGCTCAGACCAGGGTCACACCTGGCCCATCCT